AGCCGCCAAACTGGATGCGCGCTCGTAAGGCCAATCTCGTTGAGGTCCAGGACCCCTCTTCGGCTAGTGCTAGTGATAGTGCTCCTGTTGATGTGCGTATCAACCTGTTGTTTCCTGGCACTGCCATGATCAATGAAGCCACTTCCCAGTACATCGACTCATCACAGGCACCACAGTACATAGAGTTCACACTCGATAGCGGGGCCACTCACACTGTGCTCAAGGAGACACTCTCCTTCAAACCCTATCCAGCACCTATCCCTCTCTTGGGAGCTGACTCCAGCTTCACCACCCTAGCCAAGGGCACCTCCACAGTCCCATGCCCAGCCTTCCCTTCCGGCACCGTCACTGGCATGTGCGTGCCTTCACTATGCCACAATCTAGTGGCTCAAACAGAAATTCAGAAAGCAGGGCTACGCACCATCTTCTCGGAGAATGAGGACCACTGCGACATCATTGACCCACTCACCAACAAAGCCTTGGCCCGCTTCACCCTCAATAGCAGCGGCCTCTACACGCTACGCGTTCCTCTCCCACAGGTTTCAACCACCCAAGCACAGGCTCCCATCACACCATGCACATGTCGCAGCCTCTCCAACCCGACCATCCTCTATCATCATCGGTTAGGGCACCCAAACTTTCGCACGCTTGCTGACATGGCTTCCAAGAAACTTCTTCTCGGCCTGCCAGCCACACTTCCTCCACCACCTGACTCACCCGCTCCCACGTGCCTTGATTGCACCAAGAGCAAACTGCGCCAACAGCCCCACACTGCCTCACCCACAATCGCAGCGGCACCACTGGACCTAGTGCACATGGACGTCTGGGGCCCTGCCCCTGTTCTTGCACGAGGTGGATATCGCTACTTCCTAGTTATCGTGGATGACCACTCACGATACGTCTCTGTTCACCTCCTCCACACTAAGGCTGAGGCTCCAGAGGTCATCATGGCGTGGGTCAAGCAGGCACAAACCACCTTTGACCGCAAGGTCAAGCGCCTTCACTCGGATGGGGGGGGTGAATTTTGCAACGACAAGCTCAAAGCCTTCTGCTCCTCCGAAGGCATCCAGCAAAACTTCACCCTCCCTGACAGCCCTCAACAGAACGGCATAGCTGAGAGCCGCAACCACACCCTAGTGCAGATCACTCGGTGCCTCCTCAGCCACTCCAACGCTCCACACTCTCTCTGGGGATACGCTCTCTACCACGCCGCCCTCCTCTACAACCTTTACCCCCATCCGCACCTTCCGGACACCACTCCAACCACACTCTGGCTCGGGAAAACGCCCACTGCTCGCTCTCTTCGCGTTTGGGGATGCACCGCCTATGTCCTCCTCAACCCTCAGGCTCGACGCCAGAACGGTGGCAAGCTCGGTCCTAAGACTCAAACGTGCATCTACCTTGGGCACAACGCCGACTCACCTGACTACCTCTTCCTCAATCCCTCCACTCAACAGTTGGTCAGGAGCCGCGACGTTGTCTTTGATGAGACCCGCCCATTCTACTCCCCTTCAGGACGGGACCCTCTCCCTGATCCACCCTCCCTCGTGTGGGCAGACTTTGACGCGCCTCCCGACCTCCCGCCTGCTCCTGCCCCCTCACCTCCTCCCTCTCCTGCCATCCCACCATCTCCCTCTGAGGTCTTTGACCCGGCCTCACCGGTGTCTTCGGCAGCTGCTCCGCCCCCCCCCTCACCTTCCTCACTTCCCGCTGCACCGCCCCCTCCGAGCGCACCTATCACCTACCATCGGCGGTCCCACCCTCCGGCCCCACCTCCTCCCCCAGTTCCCCCCACCACAGAGGAACCCGCTCTCCCACAGTCGCCCGAGCTGATCACGTACCGCCGACGGCCCATTCCCCCACACAAGACTCCTAAGTCACCCTCTCCGACACCGCCTGCCCCACCCTCCTCACCGGTGGCTCATGGCACCCACTCCCATCGCGCTGCTCCTCCACTCGCAATGGTTCTTCGATACACAACGATCACACCGCCTCCTCCTGCTAGGGGGGATGTGCCCTCTACCCTTCTAGAAGACAGGCATGAGGAGCTGTGTGATCTCCATGCAGTCATTCCTCAGCTCTCACACATCTTCCCCGATATCACTGGCTCACCCTCCCTCAACCTCGCGGAGAACCCGACCATCCCTATCCCTCTCACCGTCCAAGAGGCTCTCTCAGGCCCTCATGCTGCCGAATGGCGTGCTGCCATGGACGCGGAGATTGCAGCATTCACTCGCAACCACTCCTTCGACGACGAGACTCCACCTCCAGGAGTCAACATCGTCGGGGGCAAGTGGTTGTTCCGTGTAAAACAGCTCCCAGACGAGGCACCGGTGTTCAAAGCGCGTTACGTAACCAAGGGCTTCACCCAGCAGCGGTACCGCGACTTCGACCTAATCTTCTCCCCCACATCCAAACCTCCCACCATTCGAACGCTCATGGATGTTGCAGCTCGAGAAGACTTTGAGATCAAATCCATGGATGCCTCCTCCGCCTTCCTACAAGGACGTCTCAAGGAGACAGTGTTCATGGACAGACCAGAAGGCTTCTCAGGAGAATTCCCTCCCAACACTGTCTGGAAGCTGAATCGCCCCGTCTACGGCCTTAAACAAGCCCCTCGCGAATGGCACAACAAGGTGAAAGAAGTCCTCCTCTCCCTGGACTTCCACCCCTCAACTGCTGACCCGACTCTCTTCATCCGTCGTCATTCTGAGCCATTCTACATCCTAGTCTACGTGGATGATTTTATCCTCGTTGCCAAGGACTCGGCCCAAATGACCTTAGTCCAGGCAGCCCTGAGCAAGGCCCTCCAGATGAAAGACCTCGGTGACCTCAAGCACTACCTGGGAATGGAGATCACTCGTGATCGCAAGGCTCGCACCATCTCACTCTCCCAGGAGTTCTACATCGACAATGTGCTCAAGCGGTTTGAGATGGAGCTGTGCACACCTGTTGCCACCCCGCTGCCGCTGCAACACCTCCTTACAGCTCCTGCTGTACCCACACCAGAGGCCTGCTCTGAGCCATACCCGGAACTTGTTGGGTCCCTCATGTACGCCATGATGTGCACCCGACCGGACTTGGCCTACCCAGTCAATGTTCTCTCTCGTTACGTGGCCCCGGGTCGCTTCACTAATCTTCATTGGAAGGCAGCAAAGCGGGTGCTGCGCTATCTTAAGGGCACAAAGTCCCACGTTCTCACACTCGGTGGGCTCTCCCCTCCTCGCCTGGAAGGTTACACAGACTCCTCCTGGGCTGATGACCAGACCGACCGACGCTCCTCTCAGGGGTACTGCTTCACACTCGGGAGCGGAACTGTCAGTTGGCGCTCCACCAGGTCGTCTGCAGTCTCCCTCTCCTCCTGTGAGGCGGAGCTCTACGCAGGCACCATGGCTGCTCAGGAGGCCCGTTGGCTCACCTTCCTACTCCAGGAGCTTGGCTTCCCTCAGTCAGCCCCCACCCTCTGGTGTGACAACCGGAGTACCATCCATATCTCTCAAGACCCTGTGTATCACACCCGCACCAAGCATATTGAACTTCAGCACTTCTTCATTCGTCACCTTGTGCAACAAGAGCAGCTGAAGGTGGAATACGTGGCATCTGACTGCAACCTGGCTGACCTGTTCACCAAGCCCCTTGGGAAGGTTCCCCACCATCGTCTCCTTGGCGCCATGGGGCTCTGCGCTCCTCCTTCTCCGCCATGAGTTCGATTGACGCCTCAGGGGGGGTGTTGCTGTTAGACCCCAATCTCACATTTTGTACTTGTACTTTTATATCCTAGTTTAGTGTAGTTTGCACTTTGTGTTTGGTTGGGTGTACACCCACATCCCAACCAAACCCAAATGTAATCTCCAAGCAATCTCCAACCCACCAATTGGAGATTGCCTTGGGATTACCCTTGATTCCCTAGGATTGCCTCCTCATTCCCTCCTCATCCCTACCTTGCTCATTCCGGATGTACTTAAAGAGCTTTGAGCTCACTACTATAGTATCGATTCTAAGCTCAAGTTCTGACACCAACCCCGGCTGATCGGGATCCTATCCCTAGCGCTGGCGAATTACAGTTAGAGCTCAATGGAGGCTCTCCCTGTCGGTCACCCTCCTTTCCTTGATCCACGCTGCTATTACCACTCGCGTTCGTTGTTCCTTCCTCTGCTCGAAACCCAGGCGTCTTAGCAGACAGATCCTGTCCCTCCATCCTCCGCGCAGGAAATCTATGACTTGAACGCAGCTGATGAGTATGTAGCTCTTGATCAAGACCGCTAATCCATTACGGTGCATCACCGTAGGCCCTCCAGGCGTTTATACCTGTTCCGCTGAGAATTCAGCACTGCAACTTTTTGCTTGCATGAACAAGTCTTAACTCCCTTGCAAGGGCTCCATCAGATTGCTCCTGCTTCTCCCTACTGCTAGCTTCCTTTGGCTTTGGAAAACAAGAGTACAGTAAGAAGAGAAACATACAAGCAAAAAGCGAGAAACCTGAGTGCTACCCTCAACTACATTCCCTCCTCCTGCCGAGGTTCCTTCTGCAACACGCTAGCTCTAGTGCCAGACGCGAGTCAGCTACGCTGCTCGTGATGGCTCCAAGGCGCTAGCTGGGTCCCACTGGGCCCACTAGGCATGCACTGTATTCCAGCTGGACTCGAGTTCCTAGCCTGGAATCGCATTCCCAGCTGGGATTGCATTCCCAACCTGGAATCGAATTCCCAGCTGGAATCGAATTCCCTCTTCTGCACCAACCTCCTCGAATTTCTCTGCACTCGGCTCTGTAAAGCGTATGTACAGTACATACCACGCACACAAAAGAAATTTGAGTACAAGTGCAGAAATTCAGAATTACCTGGCTGCTGTGTAATTCACGCCTTAGCCTGATGGCTAGGCGTTAATAACGCGACAGCGTGCGTTACAACAATCCAAGGGAAGAGAGGCGTGCGTTACAGCAATTCAAGGGAAGAGAGGCGTGCGTTACAACAATTCAAGGGAAGAGAGGCGTGCGTTACAGCATCGTAAGGGATGAGAGGGCGGTGATGCCATCGAGCAGCGGGCCAGAGAGGCCCATCGATGCGATGCGCCTGTGGGTTGGGGGGAGAAGCAGAGGGGGGGAGGGAGGGGATGGTGTAACATCGGGCAGGATGGAATGGGATGGGATGGTTAGGATGAGCTGGGATGATATGGAATGGCATGGCATGGAACGGCATGGTATAACATGGCATGGCATGTCGGGGAAATAGGTGGAGGGTAGAGAGAGGAGAGGGTGGTAGAGAGAGGAGGGGGTGGAGAGAGGAGAGGCTTACAGGTTTGCGAGGGCGCTGAGGCGGAAGAAGGCTGGCGGCAACGGCCCATAAAAGCCGTTGAAATCCATATCGCTGGGAGGGGGAGCGTCGGGGGGAGATAGTCGTTGATGTTCATGTCATGTCACTGTGCAGACTTGACCACGCACGCGGCGGTGCGAGCTAATATGGGGGATGTTGTGATAATGGTGAATGCGAGAGGGAGGACGGAGGGTGAGGGGAGAGACAGAGGGGAGTGCTGTGGTTTTGGTGGTGGAATGTCCGAAGGAGGAGCGGAAGCGGGGCGAGAGATAAGGGCCGGAGAGAAGTGACTGGCATGGGAGGGAAGGGAAGGAAGTGGCATGGGAGGGGCAGGACTCCTGAAAGGAAGATGGACAGATAAAGGGGATGCAGGGAGGGAGCGAGGGGCGAGGGCGAGAGACTGACAGATGCGACAGTTTCTGCAGGCGCGAGACCGTGAGTGGAATGGGCCCCGTGAAGTTGTTGCTATAGAGGTCCCTGGGGTGGTGGGGGATTGGGGGCAGCGGGGGAAAAGGGGAGCGATTGTGGAGCAAGAGCAAATGCGAACGTGGAAGAGAGGTAGGTGGTGAGAGAAAGGTGAAGAGGGTAAGGTGGACGGAAAAAAGCGGACACAGATTGGTGGAGACGGGACAGGAGGAGAAGAAGGGAGAAGGGAAGAGGAGGAGGAGGAGGAGGAGGAGGAGGAGGAGGAGGAGGAGGAGGAGGAGGAGGAGGAGGAGGAGGAGGAGGAGGAGGAGGAGGAGGAGGCCCGTGACACGCAGTGACAGTGCAATGGGTGAAGGGGTAGGGAGATCACGGTGAAGGGGTAGGGAGATCACGGTGAAGGGGTAGGGAGATCACGGTGAAGGGGTAGGGAGATCACGGTGAAGGGGTAGGGAGATCAAGAACCTTGTGGGCGATTACAGTTCAACGAGCCATGGCATGCGCGCAATGACGGTGAAGATTGGACCCGTGAGGTGGTTGTTGCCCAGCCTCCTGCATGCACGAATGCACATGCAGACATGCACACATGCACGAATGCACATGCAGACATGCACACATGCACGAATGCACATGCAGACATGCACACATGCACAAATGCACATGCAGACATGCACACATGCACAAATGCACATGCACACATGCACACATGCACGAATGCACATGCACACATGCACACATGCACAAATGCACATGCAGACATGCACACATGCACACATGCACAAATGCACATGCAGACATGCACACATGCACGAATGCACATGCAGACATGCACACAGACGCGCACGCGCTCACGCGCGCGCACACACACACACTTGCAAAGCTGAGGAGATGCAAAGATGAGGAGATGCAAAGATCAGGAGATGCACAGATGAGGAGATGCACGTTGACAGACGTACACACGAACACAAACACAGCAGAAACACAAGAATCAATGTGCCCCTCTCACTGCCCCTCTCACTACCCCTCTCGCTACCCCTCTCGCTACCTCTCTCGCTACCTCTCTCGCTACCTCTCCTCTCTCACTGCCCTTCGCACTGCCCCTCTCACTGCCCCTCTCACTGCCCCTCTCACTGCCCCTCTCAGTGCGCCTCACAGGGAGGTGAGCAGGCGGAGGGCGGAGAGCGCGGGGGGCACAGGGCCGGACAGATTGTTGGTCTGCAAATTCCTGGCACCACCGGGGGGAGAGTGGGCGGGGCGGGATGGGTGGAAGGGGAAGGGAAGCGCAAGAGGGTAGGAGGAATGGTGGCGTGGTGGGTGATGTGATGGGTGAGGTGGGGAGAGAGAGCGAGCTAGAGGGCATGTGGGGGCAGGGCAAGGCCACTCACAAGCCCCGGGCTGGCCCCTGGCGACTCTTATGTGCGACTCTTATGTGCGACTCTTATGTGCGACTCTTATGTGCGACTCTTATGTGCGACTCTTATGTGCGACTCTTATGTGCGACTCACAGCGATTGCAGGCGGGAGAGCGCGGTGAGGGCGAGGGGGATGGAGCCCGTGAGGCTCTTTGAATTCAGCAGCCTGCGCAACACGCAGAGGAATGATGGGGAGGTTTGGGAGGAGCGGCGGACAGGCAGCGAGGAGGCGATGATGCAGGTGGAGCAATGGAGGAGTGTGGTGTGGTGAGGTGAGTCAATGAAGCATGTGAGGTGAGTCAATGAAGCATGTGAGGTGAGTCAATGAAGCATGTGAGGTGAGTCAATGAAGCATGTGAGGTGAGTCAATGAAGCATGTGAGGTGAGTCAATGAAGCATGTGAGGTGAGTCAATGAAGCATGTGAGGTGAGTCAATGAAGCATGTGAGGTGAGTCAATGAAGCATGTGAGGTGAGTCAATGAAGCATGTGAGGTGAGTCAATGAAGCATGTGAGGTGAGTCAATGAAGCATGTGAGGTGAGTCAATGAAGCATGTGAGGTGAGTCAATGAAGCATGTGAGGTGAGTCAATGAAGCATGTGAGGTGAGTCAATGAAGCATGTGAGGTGAGTCAATGAAGCATGTGAGGTGAGTCAATGAAGCATGTGAGGTGAGTCAATGAAGCATGTGAGGTGAGAGTGTCATGGCCCATGGTGACACGGCATGCATGTGGAGCGCCAGCAACAGTAGCACTGGTCGGCAACACTGGGCGGCAGTACTGGGTGGAACTCAATGGCGCATGTGCCCGCGGCTTTGCCACTCCACGCCCTCATCCCCTTCCCCCATGCGCAGCTTCCCCCGCACTCCCCCCACGCTTCCCCCCACGCGCTGCCGTCCCCCCGGGGCACTGACAGCTCTGTGACCATGCCGTCCTTGTCGCACGTGATCGTCCCCGGCGGCGCGCAGTCCGCGCCTTGCGCCCACTCCGCCGTGGTCATCCCCCACTCCGCCGCGCACTCCTTCAGCGCCGCCGCTGCGCGCCCATTGCGGGGGAAATCGAGGGCGGAGAGGCGCGACGGACAGCAGGAATACGGGATTTGAGAGGGGAAGCGGGAGAGGGAGAGGGAGAAGGAGAGCGGGAGGGAGAGGGAGGGAGAAGTAGAGCGAGAGGGAGAGGGAGAGGTAGAGGGAGTGGAGAGGGGAGAGGGAGGAGGAAAGGAGACTAGGTACGCGAGGATGTCGGCTGGGTATGATAGGACACCAATACAGCGCCTCTTGAAGAGAAGCCAGTACGGAAGAGCAAAAATTTCGCGGAGAAGGCGAGGCTAGCTGAACCAAAGACAAGCAGGAAGGCTCCATGGCAAAACGGTGCTGCGGTGGAGCCAGCTACTAGGAGTACGGACCTTCTGTATACAAAACATGTACATTATACATCTTCTCACATTTCTAAGTATCTATATAACACGTACCTTATTGCCAGGTGTAGAGTAGCTTGTTGTAAGTTGCTGAACCTATACCATAATAGTCCACGTAGGTATATTGTAAACACGAACGGAATAGCATGTACACACATAGCATGTGCATTGTTTCCGAGACGAACAGATTTGGGATAAAGGACGGTTAAATCTGCGTGGCGCTTAGGCTCTGGTGGGACCTGCCCATGCGAGAATCCGCATGAGGGCTTGAATCTGAAAAATACATGTTATACAACGCCCCGTGCCCCCTACACCACTGGGCCAAAACGAGGGTTATTCAGAAGCGCAGCGGTTGCCTTTCAACCCTTCGTGTAAGACCGCAGGCCGCCTGGTTTACAACTTATGCGAAGGATGAAAGCAATCGCCAGGTTTCGTCGCGCAGCAAAGCGCGCATTGAGTCGGCGAGTGGCTTCCGGGCCATGACAGGCAGACTGCAAGAGGTACTCTTTAGCTTGCTGTGGTTCGAACCCTAGAAGTAATTCGCGCGCGTAGCGTACCTTGGGAGTTGGCGAGAGGCACCGTCACAGCCTGGACGACACGCGACAGGAGAGCGACGACGAGCGCCGCGAAACACGGAAGGACAAATGCGAAGTTCGGCGACCGCGAGCGAGCCGTTCTTCCAGAGCCCATCGCGGCGATGGCGTCTCCGGGAGGCGAGACAGTCCTTCCCTAGGGCAGGCGATCATGGTGAGGGCGAAAGGGTGGTGCTGGGAAAGATAACACAGTGGTCAGTGACAGATAGTGCAGGTGCAGGCCGTGGTGCAGTGCGGTGCGGTGGATGGAAAGTGAGTGCGCGAGTTCGTGCGAAGCCTGGGGATTTGCCGTCGTTCCAGCAGACTTCCTGTGGAATGTGTGGGGTTTGTATTGCATTGGTTGTTAGTTGGACTTTCAAATACTTGACCTCCTCCTGCGTTCGCATTTGCACGCACTCAGCAACTTGGCAGTCTCCTCAGATGTCGCGTACCGCGCCAACCACAGTCTTTGAAGAGGCGATACATTTTTGATACAGCAAAACGCGGGAAGGTGTCAGTCTTTTGGAAAAATTGTGGTGTGCTGTATCTAACTACCAGATTGAATGTCTGAAGCGAGTTCGACACAAATGTGGAAATTGAGAATGTGACACACGTCCCTGAGGAATGTACCCTAAGTCTTCTCTTGTAATGAACGTGCTGTTCCACCTGCACTCCGCTTCAACAGCCCTGCCTTCTGCTCCCCGCCCGCTGGACCCTGCTCTGGTGAGTGGAGTGCTGCTGTGCTGGTGAGAGGGGTACTGAACTGCCGAGGATAATGGGGGGCAGAGCAGATGGTGAACTGTATGTGGTGTAGCTTGCTTCTTGCTCACTTCAAATGCAATGATGGAAGAGCAGTCTGGTCTGGCAAGTGACAGCTGGATGGCCTGAACAGGACTCGTGCAACCTCCCCCGTCATGCAATTCTGTCATCATGCAATCCTGTCATCATGCAATCCTGTCATCATGCAATCCTGTCTTTATGGTATATGCCCTCAAAATCTCCCCTTCCTCCCTTACCCCTCCCCACTCCCTTGAGTCCTGCTCCGTCTGCTCCCTCCCCTTCCTCCACATCCATAACCCCCATCCCACTGCCAGCAGCAGCAGCAACAGCAGCAGCCCCACCGCACCCACTACTACCCCCACAATCACGGACAGTGGGAGGGTGGAGGGCGGAGAGGGAGGAGGGGAAGGGGAGGCGAGAAGGACGGTGATGGTGGGGGGAGGAGGCGGGGGGGAGGGGGATGGCGGAGGGGGAGGAGGGGAAGGGGGAGGCGGGCTGGAGATTGGCACTGGCAGGGAACGGATGGGGTTGGGATGGGGGAAACACGGGATGAGAGGGCGGATGGGATGTGATGGACTTTGAGAATGGAAGGGAAGGTTGGGAGGAGTTTGAGGGGAATGCTGGAGGGCAAATTTGCAGGGCGAGAGCATGAGACATACAGTCATAGAATTGTTGACTTGACTCATAATCGGGGGAGCATGCAAGGGCACATGCATGGTGTGATGTGATCGTAGCAGTGCAATGCTAGGTGCATGATTGGGGTGATCCTGACCGTTGATTGGGATACACGTGGAGCAGAACGCTGAACAGAAGGTGCAAAACTTGGATGAACGGTTCTGATAAATTTTGCAGCTGGTGTTGTCCATTGGGCAAACTAGCCTTGAAAACTGACTGATAGAGCAGGGGCGGGTGGAGGATACACGGGGTGGGATGAGGAAAAACACAAGAGGTGCAGAAACGCATCTCTAGACGCATTTGAAGAGTAATTCAAGAGAGGGATATGAATGAATGCATGAATACGTTTATATATTATATGTAAAGCGCGAATGGGTTGGAATGAGGCAGGTGCGAGGTGTTGGAAAAAAAAAGAGAGAAGGAGAGAAGGGCACGGGGATAACCGAAAGAAAAGGAGGGAATCGCACAAGGATTGAAGTTTCAAGGCTCCATAAGCGGCGGGAATGGTTCCATTGAGCTCTGTGTTGCTCACATCACTGTGTGGAATGAGGTTTGGGAAATGAAAAAGCTAAGGACGGCAGGTGGGAGGTAAGGAAACGCCGTGACAGAACGGGAGGGAAGGTGTGGGTTGAAATAACACTTGTTGGGTGAACGGGTTGGAAGCGATGGTAGGCGGTTTTTGGGTTGCGTAGCAACCCTTT